TTGGTGAAGAACAGGTGTTGGGATCCACAGGAGTCAGTTTAGGAGCTATGCGGTCGACCGCGGTGCAAGGCCGGTTGACCGCGAACGTGCACAGACTCTGGGAGGAGTCTGGATTTGGCGCGATCGACCGCGAGAACCTATAGGACATTTTTGGGCTCTGTCGTTTGTCGCGGTCTACCGCCGCGATCGACCGCTAGACCCTATAGGAGTTTCCAGGTTCTGTTTGTTGGTCACGGTCGATCGTGGCGGTCAACCGCGTAACGGGTCAGGCCCAGTTTGAGTTTTCTGTTCTGATTTAGATTTTGGTGTTTGTATAAATACCAATATACGTTCTAGGATTTCTAAAGGCTAGAGTTTGGGATATTTGGAGCACAGAAAAGAAGAATTTTCTGAGCTATTTGTTTAGAGTTTATTTGGAGAGATTAAGAGCTTTGTAGTGAGATTAATTTGTTCCTTTGAGTGATTTGTAATCTCAATTTGTACTCTTATTCTCTATTAGTGAAAAACCATATCCCCTTCTTGCCCCGTGGATGTAGGCAATTGCCGAACCACGTTAAAACTGGTGTTTGGTGTTTGTGCATTGATTTTGGTTGGATTTTGCCTTCTTTGATCGGCGGTTGGTTTGGTTCCTCGACACGGGTTTTCCCTAGCAATTGGCATCAGAGCTCATGCTGCGCTTGGGCTATTTGAAGGAGTAGATCGATTTAGAAGCTCATCTAGGGTTTCAGTTGGTGATAAAGGTGGGATCTTTTTGGTAAAGACTCTATCTTTTTTAAGTTTGGATCTATTTCTTGTTCGTTTCCGCAATTGTTTGTTGGTGTGTTGAGGATTATGACCGGGAAAGAAGGTGTTGAGGGTGGTTCTTCAGGCGTGAAGACTGTCCAAAGTTTGAATATCTACTCGATGAAGATTGACGTGGAGAAGTTCAATGGCACTAACAATTTTGGACTTTGGCGATGCAAAGTCTTGGATGCGCTCAATGCGTAGAATTTAAAAGATACATTAGAGTTGAACGGGAAACCAGACGATATTGATAATAAGGTTTGGAAGAAAATGAAGAGAACGATATGTGATGTGATTAGGTCTTGTCTCACTCAAGATCTAAAATATGATGTGAGGAATGAGACTTCGGCGAAGAAGATTTGGGAGGTCCTAAAGAGCAAGTACTTGATGAAGAGCGTTGAAAATCGCTTGCATTTGAAGAGGAGGCTTTATCGCTTCCAATTGAAGAAGGGGACATCCATTGGTGATTACATGAACCACTACACGAAGCTTCTTACATATTTGGTGAATGTAGATGTTATTGTTGAAGATGAGGACAAGGCGTTGCTATTGTTAAGTTCCTTGCCCGACGATGAATATGAGACCTTCATCCTTACTCTTATTAATGGGAAGACATCTCTTTTATATAGTGAGGTCACTACTGCACTTGTGAATTACCAACTTAGAAAGAAGGATAATGAGACTTTTATTGAGCCAGTAGTGGGGGCATTGGTTGCAAGAACAAAGAGTCCAAACTGAGATAGAAGGCCGCAGTCTAGAGGGGCACATCTTGAAATTCATAGGAATCAGTGTGCTTTTTGTAAAGAAGATGGACATTGGAAAGCCGAATGCCCAAAATTGAATGATCGAGCCGGGAAGAATAAGGAGAAAGCGATTGAAGCTTCAGAGGTGAATGTTATCAAGGCTAGTGACGATATTTCAGATTCAGATTCTTCGGGCTATTCGTGTCCAACACTTCCGTCAGTTTGTATTGATGACTCTACTGAGTGGATGTTGGATTCGGATGCCTCTTACCATATTTGTCCTAGGAGGGATTGGTTCTCCAGCTTTCAGGAGTTGGAAAGAAGGGATGTTGTGCTTACGGGCAATGATCACAAATACCCTATTGATGGTATCGGTACCGTTCGTATTCAAATGATTGACGGGATGATTCGGGAGTTGGTTGAAGTAAGGTTCGTTCCTCAATTAAAGAAGAACATTATTTTACTTGGAGTTTTGGAGGCAGCAGGCTATAGGGTGACATTGGCGGATGCACGTTTGAAGGTTACATTTGGGTCTATGATTGTGATGAAGGGCGTCAAAAGGAGTAACTTGTACTATTTACTTGGGAGCACGGTGATTGATAGAGCGCTGACGACTTCATTGGATTTGGCTAGACTGTGGTATTGTTTGACGCTGGGGTATTTGATTGGCGATGCTGTGCATAGGTTGTTGAGGAGTGCGTTGACCTGCAAATGGAAGTCCTTTGAGCACATTGGGATGAGCGAGAAGACCGTGGTGGAGTTTGGTACTTCTATCTATCGATCGAGGGGTCTTTTAGGACGTGTTCAGTCAGGTATTTGGGGGCCTTCCAAGGAGGCATTATTGGGAGGTAATTGTTTTTTGGTTGCTGTAGTTAGGGATTGTACTAGGCATTTATGGGCTGCAACCAAGCCCTATTGGTTTGAAGTCCTAGTAGTCCGCAACAGTTGGGAGAAGTGTGTTGGCAAAAAGGTTATCTGTCGTGCTAGCTCGAGTAGAGGTTTCTTCTTGCATTTGTGCCGAGCTCATGGCAGTTGGAGACACTTCATTGGAGAGGAGACATTGAGGCGACGATATGAGATGACAGATTTGATGAGCTGTTCCTTTCTGGAGGAGGATCGGCGTTGGCTGTCGAGCATTGGACTTGGTATTCAGGCTTCGACACGTTTAGGTCATCTTATACATAGGTTGTCGACTGCTGCATTTAGTGATTTTGGATCTGGTGGAGCTGCTTCAGATTTTGGTTGGCGTCAGATATTTGGTTACCCAGTACTTGGTCATATCAAGGATGTGAAATTTGATCCGATTGCGCTCTTTGTAGGATCTGAAATAGATACACTTGAACACTAGAGGGGGGGTGAATAGTGTTCTTTTAAAATTAATGCAAAGTATATTATAAATTGCAAAGAAAAATGGTAATCTCAGAAATTCACAATCACAAACACAAGGATTTTATACTGGTTCCACCAATCCGTTGTATATCCAGTCCCCAAGCAAATCCCGCTTGAGAGTTTCCACTATGATTTTGAATAAACTTACAAAATCAAACGCAAACCTGACCAATTTGCAAGTCCCTGCAAATTGCAACACCAATTGACAAACATCTTGCCAATTTGAACACCAATCTCTAAACCAAGAGATCAACCCTCTCAAACCCGAGAGAAATCCTTGTTGAAGCAAGAAAACAATTGATCCTATAAGCCTTGAATGTGTAGTGAAGTGCAGCAGTGGGTTAGGATTCTTTTAATCTCTGTAAATTACCTTAACAATAGGTTTTTGAATAATGTACAGAGGCAATTTCAGAAAAAACGGCTATAAACTGTCAGATATTCAAACTTTGAAAACTGGAAAAACTATATCTGTAGTCGACTACACTGAGTTCAAACAGACTCTGTGTTTTCAAAAAATTTTCTCAGTAGTCGACTACAAAGCCCATTAGTCGACTACATTGTATTTTGATAAAAACTGATAAAATAAAATTTGAGTTCAGTAGTCGACTACTGTTGACATTAGTCGACTACACTGTAAAATAACAGAAACTTATGTTTCTGTCAAACACCTGAGTAATCGACTATAATCTATTGTAGTCGACTATACTGTAAATTGACAGAAACATGTATTTGAGTTTTACACACAAGTAGTCGACTACTATTCTAATTAGTCGACTACTAAGAGTAAAAATTCTGCTATAAAGAGTTTTTATAATCAAGTTTTAACTATAATTCTAATGGTTAACATAGAGGATTTCTATTGTTAACCAACACACTAAGCATGTGTTAGTGTGTTCTAAAATTGTGTGTGTGCGTGTGTGTGATCAAGGCTTGTACAATTATTCTAAGTAAAGAAAATGTAAAATACATTATCTCTTTTGTTCTTCATTTTCTTCACTTCAAAATGCCTTGAAATCAACTTGCACTTGTACATATTCTGATATTGAAATCTGCATATAAAAGTTAGTGCACACACTGTATAAATTGTTATCATCAAAACACTATCATGGAGATATGATATTCAACATATAATATTAAATTAATAATAAAATAATAATGTTTTAAGAAATTATATAATATATAACAATAACAAATTGATATATACCAAAATAAGTATATATATTATTATTTGAAAATAATATGTAATAGTTGTAATATAATATAACGCATTAAAGTACAATGTAATATTATAATATAGTATATAATATAATATTGTATTATATTTAATTTTATAATACTATAATAATACAAACTAAATATTATAACATCTTTTTATTATATATTTTATTATAATTAATATATAACATATTAATAACATGTTTATATTAATGTTGTAACGGTTCAAAAGACTTGCCATAAAGACCAAAAGTTCCACAATGTTCATCACCATGATCTGTTTAAAATATGTAGCACTGCTAGAAACATGACTTTTAGCGACGGAAAAATCCGTCGCTAAAAGTCGAAAATCCGTCGCTAAAACCTTTAGCGACGGAAAAAATAAAATTCCGTCGCCAAAAAACCGTCAGTACAGTGAGGGTAGCTAAAATCAGTTTTAGCGATGGATTTTCCGTCGCTAAATTTTAACGACGGAAAATTAGCGACGTATAATCCGTCGCATTATTTTTTTTAAAAAATAAAAAAACATTAGCGACGGATTTTCCGTCGCTATAACCACTTTTAGCTATGGAAAATCCGTCGCTAAAACTTATTAGCGACGAAAAATCCGTCGCTATAACTATTTTTAGAAAATAAAAATAAAATGAATTTTCCATCGCCATTAACATTAACGACGGAAAATCCGTCGGTAATATTTGTCCCCTGTATCTGTTTTCCGTCGCTAAAAGTCTATTTAGCGACGGCTAATCCGTTGCTAAATATTTCCAATATTTTTTTAATAATAATTTAAAAATTGAAAAAACCTGTACAATAATATAATAAATTTAAAACCCTATTCGATCAGCATTATAATATTCATTCTTATGCATATATAACATATATAATTTAATTAAAATATCCTAACATAATAAACATTATTTATACAGTACACCCCATGATAAATATTGTTTATACAACACACTCATTCATTGTTTTCAAAGGTAAAAAAACAAATCAGTCCTCTTGATCATCATCATCATTATCATCATCCTCATCACTAGCTCCACCTTGTCTAGAAGTCTCGGCCTGCAAATATAAATCAAACGTTAACAACATGGCATGACATTCAAGTATAGCAATAAGAGAGTATCATGGCATATTCTTATGTATTATACGCACGCACATATTCTTATGTACACGCATGCACGCGTATATGCATGTACGCACTCGTACATGCACTAAATCCGCATAACCCTAACACTCACCTACCTAACCCTAACCCTCACCCTCGCCATAACTCTCACCCTCACCTAACCCTAACCCTCACCTAACCCTAACCCTAACACTCACCTAATTAACCCTAACCCTCACCCTCGCCATAACTCTCACCCTCGCCCTCGCCATAACCCTCGCCCTCCCCCTTATGCAAACACACAGCCCCTAAGGAAAATGGACAAGCACAACACGACGATATACATACATACTTTTTAAATTTATTAAATCCTTAAGTTAGTACACATAAGATTGAAAAATGCATCATATGTTCATACATATCATGTCTTTGACTTTGTGAACATTAAATCCATACATATGAAGGATCCCAACAAGTCCACTAGAGCCTGCTCTAGTTTTTACATGTCATGATTTCCAAGAAGCTTAGTAGTCAACACATGAAAACATTGGGTAATCTTCAACATAACCCTCACTTAATTGCTCTATGTTGAGGAGCTTTTTGTCTACATTAAGGGGGGAGACAGCATGCATTTTAGTGGTAAAATATGACATATGATTTGATTAAACTATAATAGTGTCTCAATTAGTACATGATACACAAATCAGTATCAGTATAAGATCATTTGGATAAAAAATGCAAATTGATTACAAAATTTGATTGACTAAATGATTTGATGCACTATTTTCTGGGATGTATGTTTCTTGCAAGGAATAAATAAAGGAATTGAAACTTTAACTCCATTGTCATTATATTTAGTGCATATTTAAAAAAGTATATAACAACCTTTAGATGCTTAGGAACAAAATAACAATCCCTATAGTATTTTCATAAAAAGACTTGATTTCGAGTTTATTGATAATAAAGAAAACTAATATTTCTATATATTGATAGCTCTTTAGCTTACTCCAAAATTTATTGCAAAAATAAACTTACTACTACATTTTCTCCAAGCCCTTAAAACTAAAAATAAAAATTAAAAAATCCACGAAACTTGCAACATCAAAAATACATGGTGAACATCAAAAATATAAACACGTTCAACAATATTTATCAAAAATAATAGGGAGGAAGGAGAACATGAAATGTCATTAGGCAAGCCATCAGAGTATGCAAACAAGCTCATATAATCAGCATTAGGCAACCACACGTAAGCTCAGACTAGCTCACAGTATGCTAATATTACTATATACTATATAGCTATATTTTTATTACCCCTTCACCAAATCACATAGTATAGGATAATATATGGATACATAAACCAGCAAGTAACCAGTCTGCATAAGTAATAATGATGTTTTTATTTTCTTTTTATTGTTTTTTTAGTGGGGGTTAATGTAGTGTATATGTCCTCAAATTACTTATAAAAAATGTAACAAACAAAAGTGTTACCACATGTCACAGCCATTGGGAACATCTACATAGATAACTAGACCTTAGAACAAATATCTAGTCATTATTTATCTATATATGATTTAGTTGAAGTAGCAAGCAGAGTCAAACCAGTTGTAGAACTTGGTTTCCTTGAATCGATTCCACTTGAAACATTTGACACGTATTCCCCTATCTGGAGTGTTGCCATCCCACAAGCATGCTCCACCACCTCTACAATAACATACCAAGAAACAATTGTGCAAATTACGCATCCATCTAAATTATGTTTTTCACTAAATAAAATAAGCAACAATGTCCAATTGTCGATCATCCCTAACATATTGGTTCATTACGAAATAATACATGCAGACTTTAATGGAAATTTAGATTTGGTGTTAAACTAACCTAAACCACGGAAAACATCACCCTGAGCATCTTTAAGTGTCTTCCCCTGTTCAGTTGTAATATTCATAGCAAGCTTATCCTGAAATAGAAACACATATACCATTAGTAATTGACCCTTGCTACAAAGTAAACATTTTTCAAAACAAATTACCATGACTCTTCGAATGAGCTCTTGGAGCTTGAACATAACTCGCTGCCTTGAAGTAACTGGAGTATTCTTCCATTTAGGAAAATCTTTTTTCGCAGCGCTAACCGCCGCTTTAAACTCTTTGTCTGTAGTCAATGGAATCCTAGAAACTACTTCTTGTGTCGCCTATTATTATTTAAAAAACACTTTTTTCAGCAAATTCAATATCAATCCATTGGGAAAGCATAAAGTGAAAAGATCGAGGCTTACAGTATTGATAACATCGATTGAAGACTCCGATCGGGACTCCAAGAACTCCCCTCTGATGAGATTCCTTACTCTCGTCTGTAAATTCATCATAAAAACCACTTACCCCTAACAATTGAATCTAAAAACCCTGATTTCAACGTTAAATCAGTTATCGGAGCCATTCCGAGGGCCGATGATGCTTCAGTGACGGTGGAGAAGCGGGAGAATCCCTGATATTTCAATATCTGGGCGCTGTAAGCTACATCAAAAAGCAACATGTGAACAGAAATTGGGGAAATCTTAGGGTTTATTTCAAGGGATTTGATTTCACACCGCCTCGTCAGAGCGCTGATCAGAGCATAATTTTGGGAGGGAATATGAAGAAAGAGAGTGGAGGAGAGGGAGAGGACGGCCATGGCAAGCTCTTGGAACCCTAGGTTGGAGAGGATCGGAGAGAGGTACCGGTGGAAGTGGCGCTGGATCGTGGTCGTCGCCGCGTCCCCTTGTGAGACTGCCGCCTCTGTTTTAGGGCGGCCGGGGGGGTGGCGGGGCGAGGAGGAGGAGGACTTGAGGCGGCGATGTGGCGGGCGAGGGAGTGGAGGATGGAGGAGCGGAGGATGGGCGAGGGCGGTGGACGCGAGGAGGAGGAGGACTGCGAGGGTGGTCGACGCGGCGGGCGAGGGAGCGGAGGATGGAGGGAGTGGAGAATGGGCGAGGGGCGGCGACACAGCGGGCGAGGGTTGGCGGCGATTGTGGTGCTGACGAGAGAAGGGGAGGGAGGGGGGGGGAAATGAATAGAGGGGGGAAATGAGAGAAGGATTTGAGGGGAAATACCTTCTGTCGGGCGCGGATGCCACAAAATTTTTGGGCAAGCCCGCGCCAAAATTTTTTTTTTTTTTTTTATTTTTTCGCGACGGAAATTCCGTCGCCAAAAGTAGTTTTAGCTACGGAATTTCCGTCGCTAAAAGTTATTTTAGCTACGAAATTTCCGTCGCTAAAAGTTGTTCATTAGCAACGGCATTTCCGTCACCATAACTTGAAAAATCCGTCGCTAAAAAATTTTAACGTCGACTTTTTATCGACAGATATTTTCTGTCGGGAAATTAATGGCGACAAAAATTTTCCGTCGCCAATAATACCTTTTCCGTCGGTATAAGTGTATTGCCGACGGAACTATAGTGACGGATATTTCCGTCGCTATAAGTCTCCTTATAGCGACAGAAATGTCCGTCGCTATAGTTCCGTAGTTAATACTCATATTTCTAGTAGTGACATGCATTATCTAACCAAACATTATTATAGATAATAAAAACACATAATTAACATAAGTGATATAGTAGCAACATAAGAAACATATTACATAAGTCCTAACAACACACAACCACATAGTTTTTGAAACTTAAACAGAATAACATAATTGTTTTGATACTTAATATAAAAACATCTTAAGGTGCTGGAGGAGGTTGCTGTCCTTGAAAATACGTATTAAGCTTTATGTCCAAGTCTTCAAACTTCTTGATTAGCTCTTCTTGATTACTAATGATGTATGAATTCTGTGCATATAGAGCTCTTTTACCAGTTTCAAGTTCAAGGATACGTGCACTTAAAGTGTTGTATTGCACGTCTGAAAAGCATGAGGGTTCTGTAGGAAATGGTGGTGGTTGACTTGAAGAAGCTCCTGCTTGAGTTGAGGATTGTGGAATTTCTTCTTGATGAGGTTCAGGTTCATTTTGAGGATTTTGTTCTTGAATTTCAAAGTTTGTCAATTTCATCCTAGTTAGGGCATTTGAATCAAAAAATTTAATTGAACGGACAACAGAATTTTCAGATTGGAGATCGACATGGAATTTGTCAAAGATTTTAGTTAGAAATGCACCATAAGGAAGAAATCCTCTTGGAATTGTCAGAAGATTATCAAAGTAAACTTCAGCCCAACTAACTTGAATATTTCCCATTATAGCATATAGAGCTTTTGCTAAATCTAGGGAAATGAAATGAAAACTCCCAGTCTTTGGAAACAAGTTATAGGCTAGGATTCGAGCAATCAACCTAGGAATTGGACGAAGTTTGTTTGAGTTATTTAAAGGTTTGCCATATCCAGGAAGAAAAATATGATTAGATAGCAAATCTGAGTCATTCATCCTAACAGACCTAAGAGAAACTCCTTGATAATGAATATTGAAGATTTTACCAATTGACTTTGAAGTTAAGTCAATCTCTATTCCTTTAACAAGAGTTTTGAGTTTTTCAGAACCACCAATAGTTCCCACACGTTCTATATTAGTATAGAACAGTTGCACAAGAAATGGATATATGGGTTTTTTATTTTCAGCAGAGAATAATTCAAGCAAGCCCACATTTTCAAAATATGACCCAAAATTCCAGGGAATAAAATCATCAAATTTCACAAATCGTCCTGGAAGAACTTCAAAAGTTGATATTTTGTTAAATTCTTCTAATAAATCAGGACTTTTTAAATAGATGATGATTTCATCATTAACAGAAGTATGGGTTTGCTTAGCTTTCTTAGATCTAGACATGATTAGATAGATAAATAACAGAAAATGTAAAGATCAACTATATTGAAATTTTTCAGGAAAAAATATTAGAAAGACTTGTACATGTAGTCGACTATAAGCCACATTAGTCAGGTTGAGATGAATTTGACTTAACTGAAACAGGTATGGGTATTGGGTTTTGGGTTTAAATCTAAGAAAAAATCCACTTGGCTTAAAAACTGTAAAACTGAAAGTTCAGAATCAGTAGTCGACTAATAGTGAGAGTAGTCGATTACACTGTGATCGACAGAAAGATGAGTTTTAGTTTTTAACTCAGAGTAGTCGACTATTCTGTATTGTGGTCGACTACACTGTAAACAACAGAAAGTTGATTTTAAGATTTTAACGTTGAGTAGTCGACTATAAAGGCAAGTAGTCGACTACACTGTAATTTTTCAGAAAAATTATTTGTAAGACTTGTGCATGTAATCGACTATAAGTCAAATTAGTCGACTATTTAGGGTATAAATGTATATATGTTTGTTTTAAAAATTAATTTAAATCTTCAATTGAACATATACCTAATTCTCTTCTTAATTTAACATAAATTTCTTCTTTTAGAGGTTTTGTTAATATATCTGCTATTTGTTTATTTGTAGGTATAAATTCTAATGAAATGTCACCTTTAAACACATGATCACGTAAAAAATGATGTCTAATATTAATGTGTTTTGTACGTGAGTGTTGAATAGGATTTTTAGATAAATTAATTGTACTAGAATTATCACACATAATAGATGATATGGGACAATTTATTCCATAATCAGTTAAAGTTTGTTTTATCCATAATATTTGTGCACATGCAAGACTTGCAGCAATATATTCAACTTCAGTCGTAGATAATGACACCGAATTTTGTTTTTTACTAAACCAAGATACAAATGAATGTCCTAAGAAATAACATGCTCCACTTGTACTTTTTCTATCAGATTTACATCCGGCAAAATCAGCATCACTATATGATATTAAATCAAAAGAACTATGTTTAGGATAAAATAAACCATAATTTGTAGTATCTTTAATATATCTAAAAATTCTTTTTACTGCTTTAAGATGTGATTCTTTTTGATTAGATTAAAATCTAGCACATAAACATACACTAAACATAATATCAGGTCTACTAGCAGTAATGTAAAGAAGTGATCCAATCATACCTCGATAGAGCTTTTGATCAACATTCTTACCATTTTCATCTTTGTCAAGTGATGTAGTGGTGCTCATAGGTGTTGGTTTGCTTGTTGAATTTTCCAATCCGAATCTTTTAAGTAAATCTTTTGCGTACTTGCTTTGATTGATGAAAATTCCTTCTTTCAATTGTTTAATTTGAAGTCCAAGAAAGAAATTTAGTTCACCCATGTGACTCATTTCAAATTCATCCTGCATATTCTTAGCAAATTCTTGACAAAGATTATTGTTAGTAGAACCAAAAATAATATCATCTACATATATTTGAATTAGTAAAATATCTTTATTTATTTTCTTAATAAACAATGTTGAATCAACTTTTCCAATATCAAAACCTGAAGTTAAAAGAAATTTCTTTAATCTATCATACCATGCACGAGGTGCTTGTTTAAGACCATATAATGCTTTCTTAAGTTTAAAAATCGGAAGTAGTATTGAATGCAAGAACTTTCTTGTTCTTTGATTCTTCATCATTCTTTCTATCTTCAATTTGAACTTCATATGCCATAAGATTACCAATAAGATTTTCAACCGTAAGAGTTGATAAATCATTGGCTTCTTCAATAGCGGTAACTTTCTTTTCCCATTGTGGAGTAAGTGATCGAAGTATCTTTCTTACCATCTCCACTTGTGTATATGTTTTTCCAAGACCAATGAGAGAATTTGTGATGTCGGTGAATCTTGTGAACATTTCTCCTATAGTCTCATTTTCCGTCATCTTGAATAATTCAAATCTGTGCACAAGAATAGAAATTTTAGATTCTTTAACTTTATTTGTACATTCATGAGTTACCTCAAGTGTATGCCAAAAATCGTATGCAGATGTGGCCGTTGACACCCTATTGAACTCATTCTTGTCAAGTGCACAAAATAAGGCATTCATTGCTTTAGAATCCAAGTTTGCATTTTTTCTTTGAGATGTAGTCCATTCCGCGAAAGGAGTGGTTGGCTTTTCATATTTCGTTTCCACGACATTTCAAAGTTCGTAGCCAATTGATTGAAGGTAAATCTTCATCCGACACTTCCAATAGTTGTAGTTCAATCCATCGAACATTGGTGGACGATTTGTTGAGTGACCTTCTTTGAATTGTGAAGAATTTGTCGATGCCATCTTTCACCTCGCTCTGATACCAAATGTAGGATCTGAAATAGATACACTTGAACACTAGAGGGGGGGTGAATAGTATTCTTTTAAAATTAATGCAAAGTATATTATAAATTGCAAAGAAAAATGGTAATCTCAGAAATTCACAATCACAAACACAAGGATTTTATACTGGTTCCACCAATCCGTTGTACATCCAGTCCCCAAACAAATCCTGCTTGAGAGTTTCCACTATGATTTTGAATAAACTTACAAAATCAAACGCAAACCTGATCAATTTGCAAGTCCCTGCAAATTGCAACACCAATTGACAAACACCTTACCAATTTGAACACCAATCTCTAAACCAAGAGATCAACCCATCAAACGCAAACCTGACCAATTTGCAAGTCCCTGCAAATTGCAACACCAATTGACAAACATCTTGCCAATTTGAACACCAATCTCTAAACCAAGAGATCAACCCTCTCAAACCCGAGAGAAATCCTTGTTGAAGCAAGAAAACAATTGATCCTATAAGCCTTGAATGTGTAGTGAAGTGCAGCAGTGGCTTAGGATTCTTTTAATCTCTGTAAATTACCTTAACAATAGGTTTTTGAATAATGTACAGATGCAATTTCAGAAACTTCTCTTTTTCTTAAAATCTGAATATTTTTCACTTGAAAAATTGCACAAAGATCAAAGCTTATGGGTATGTAAGTCTCTGTAATTTTTCTGAACCAATAACCTATTTATAGCCCTTGAAAAGACAATTTTTTGAACTTTAAAAACGTTTAAAAACGGCTATAAACTGTCAGATATTCAAACTTTGAAAACTGGAAAAACTGTATCTGTAGTCGACTACTGTTGATATTAGTCGACTACATTGAGTTGAAACAGACTCTGTGTTTTCGGAAAATTTTCTCAGTAGTCGACTACAAAGCCCATTA